AACGAAGAATAGTAATTTACGTATTAAATTATACAACTTTATTCCTTGAGCAGTTTTTTCTTCCTTGTGAACTCAGTTGTGTTCTCTTCCATTTTTTTCTCTCCCATAAAACGGTAGGTTAATGACCGCTTCTATGTATCAGCAAACAATCATTTTGTATCAATTATGCGCATACATCGTTTTTTTTTCGAAAGGAAGGTTTCTAATCGTCGAAGTAATTTGTTGGATCTGAGCTGGAAAAGAAAATGAAGCTTTCTTGTCTTTTTTCAGACGTGCATCAACTAAAACGGATATATGCAATTCTATCTCGAAGTTCTTTCAACAGTCGTACACAAAAACTCCAAATTTCATCTCAAAGTTCCTTCATCATAAAATGGTTGCTCTTTGTAAACGCCAGCCTACTTGCATTGTCAATTTATAATAAATCAGAATCAGGGTATTCACAAAAGTAACATCAGTGACAAATGGCTAATTTTTGATATTTTTACTGTAACAACTTAATCAGTATTACCGCCCAGGAAGCATGCAATAACTGGAAAAGACATCAAGGACAAAGCCAGCTTTATGGGCACATTTATATGTAATTAATTCACGCAAATTAGTCCCATACCTTTACAATCAACCCGAGAAGCCAGCCAAAGCTTCGAGCGACATCATTTACAGAACGATGAAGGTCCAAAGATAACCCCTTTACAAATTTTAGGTAATAAACAGGAAACAAAAGAAAAGAGAAAACCTTAGGACTCTTTATTCAAGACCTCTCCACAAGTTCATAGTCAGAAGTGTGTTCATAGGATGGCTTTCTGCTCAACGGTGGTAAGGATACATCTGAGGAAACCAAAGAATAGCCATGATCAACTGAATCCATGGATGATGAATTCCTATACTTTCTCTGCAAAAGGATAGTGTCACTGTCTTCTGCCTCACTGTAGGCGTCATATTCTCTGCTGCTAATTTGTTTTCTGCTTTCGGTGGAAGAATTTGCCTCTCTTGCGACATCAGGGGAATCAAACCACCTATCAAAGTACTGTAGGGTTTTTGCTTCTGTCGCCTGCTGTTGGATATCATCAGAGGAGCTGTCAGAAATATGCTTCTGAGATTCAGAGCCTGTAGTTTGATCCTTGTTCGGATTTGTGTGGATTGCCTCCTGTTGGGTATCTATTTCCTTGTCACTTGTGTTCAAGAAAGAGCTCTCAGCTACAGCATGCTGAGGCTCCAGTTGTAATCTATCTTGCATCTTCTTTTTCAGATTTATGCGCATCTCTTCCACAATCTGGAAACCAATTGCTTATTCAGAGAATATGTAAACCACATCGTATGATGGACTCCTTTATATGGTACAGTTCAAAGAAAATAAGAAAAACTCATTCTGTGTAACACATGGAAGAAGAATCAAAAGTTGGGATTCAAAAGGATATGAATACCTGCACATACAGCCACACTTGTATAGGAGCCTCGCTTGTATAGGACAGGATACAAATACGGATATTAAATATATCAACAGATGTTAAATAATAATATAATTTTGTTGGTTGAGATCCCTCCTGATTTTTCAAGATTTTTTACTTAAAACTTTTATTTGGGTAAGTTAAACTTTGGAGAAACTTGCACCAAACCCCTCTGTTTATAAATCACAGAGAATCCCCTTGAATATGTAATATTATCTTTTCTGGTAAGGTAGGTAAAAGGGCATTTAGACTCACTTTCCCACTTGAAAGATGAATTTAAATGCATGAACCTATTGAAGCCCAACTCTCTCTTTTGTGTCTGTGTGTGCGGGTGTTGTTGTAGGGTGGTTTTCTTTTGGTGGGGTGGGGTGTTGTTGGGGAGATGGGGGCTGTCTCAGACTATTCAAGCAGAGAGCATAGATTCTAACTGTGGTTTCGGTTTTTTTTCATATATACCCCTCAAATCAATTGCAAATTTACCCTCAATCTTGAATTTTGCAAATTTATCCCTCAATTCCCTTCACATTGGATATTTATACCCCTCATTTATTATGTTAGGGAATATACTTAGTATATTCCTTGAAGTTATGTTAGTAGGAGAAATTAGTTAATGACAAATATACCCTTTCTAATTAATACTAATTATATTCCTAATGCAAAAATCATTTGCCCTTTCTTCTCCATCAATAAAACACACTAATACACCATGTTCCCCTCACTTCTCTTTAATTTCTTCTTCTTCTACCTCATCTTTTCTTCTCATGCAGAGTTCAAGATTTGGAGCTTATTACCTCAGGCTTGTTTTCGACTCTTCCTCCTTTGAGAACTTCAATGTCAGTGAATATTCTTTTTGGCTAACAATTTGAAGGTAGTACCGAAGGGCAATATCACCAGTGAGATTTTGTGGAAGAACATGAGAACCCAAATTTCACCTCTGATGAAAGAATATTTGGTTATCACCAGTGAGATTTTGTGGAAGAACATGAGAACCCAAATTTCACCTCTGATGAAAGAATATTTGGTGGGTGTGGATGGCAAGGTATTGGAGTTCAATCCTGATTCAAAATCATATGCCTTTCTGAATGCCATTGAAATCATCCAAGTCCTAGATGATATGTAAGCGACTGAATAAAGTGGAAGACAACAGTGCAGATAGTTCTCAAATTGACAAATCATTCAAGTCTTTATTTGGTTAATTGGGAGGAGGGGTAGAAAGGTCAGTACACAATTCTACCGTTTGAATTCCAATATTGTTAAGTGAGGGGTAGAAAGATCTAATGTGAAAGTATTAGAGAGAAAATTTGCAATCAGTATTTAAGTGGTAAATTTGCAAATATGGATGATTTAAGGGGTATAGACATGAAACACCTTTGTCGTTTATACGCAGTCGAAAAGGACCGAATACTGTTTCCATCAACATAGTCATGAGTAATAATATAGACAGCACTTTATTTGCCAAATGCAACATTTACCATTAAGCAGTACAACAAATAGGATTTCAACTCTGCAGAAACTGAATGCTTTAACTCAATCACACAATCTTTATGCCTTCTTACAGAAAATGCGGCATCTTATTATGTCTATTTAAACTGGAGTTGCAAAGTAAATGCAAATGTGCGCAAACTGCAAGTGCACAAAAGAATATGAATACTTTCCAATAGCATCACACAATTTTATGTTTCTTATACACAAGAGGCATTTTAATATGTTACTCTATTTAGAAATGCAGTTAATAAGTAAATGCGGATGTGCACTAACAGCTTGTGCACAAAACCATATGATAACAACTATTGACATCTTGAATTTTGCAAATTTATCCCTCAATTCCCTTCACATTGGATATTTATACCCCTCATTTATTATGTTAGGGAATATACTTAGTATATTCCTTGAAGTTATGTTAGTAGGAGAAATTAGTTTTTTTTTTTTGATAGAAAGAGAGGCAGCACTCTCGGAAATATATAAATAAAACCTACTTTGCCACCCGGCGAGGTGTAGCAAAACCCCTCACATCATCCGAAATACAAGAACGCACCTAATCGGGTGGAACCTCAACAACATGAACACCAATGGGAAAAGAAAAAGCAAAAGACGCTAAGCGATCCGCAATAACGTTCGCTTCACGAAAAATATGTCGGAACTGGATCTCCCAATCCCTACGCAAGAAGCCTTGCGCCAGAGAGACGAGGCTGAATAAGGGGTGACAACGCTCCATAGGTTTGCTAAGTAACAGAACCGTCAATTGCGAATCTGTTTCCAGGCAAACCCTCCTGTATCCCCTGTCCCAAGCAAGCCTGAGACCCGACACAATGCCCCACAATTCCGCCAAAGGAACCGAGCAAAGTCCGATGTTGTGGACAAAACCCACAAGCCACTTGCCATCTGAGCCCCGAATGATACCTCCTGAAGCGGCCAGACCATCCCGACCGAACCATCCGTATTCAACTTGACCCACTGTTTAGGAGGCCGGGTCCAGTTGACAAGGATCTCATCCACACTCCTCATGTTCGTAACACGATCCAAAACAGACGCCTCCTTATATTCCTTGACAATGCCAAGAACAAAATCCGCTTTATCTCCCATGAATCTCTCCTTCCTAAAAACCCAAGAATTGCGCCACTTCCAGATATTCCACAAGGCGACTGCAAAAATGCTTGCCCAAGCATTATCCTTAACACTAGGCCCAGAGTGTAAAAGATTAAGCCTCAGCCACTGAGCATAGTTAGGCCCATAAAACTCAGTCCACGAGAAAGGAGGCTCCAGCTTGGTCCAAATATCAGTAACAACACCACAGTCCCTGAACAGATGAAGGGCTGATTCAGGCTCTGAAGAACAGCAGGGGCAAGCGTTATCCTCAGTAAGGTGTCTGCGCCGTCTCTCGGCGTTCGTCAGGACACCACCCCGGACCACCAGCCAGGCAAAAGTTCTCACCCGTTCTTGAGCCTTAATTTTCCAAATAACTCTGAACACTGGGGAATCAATTTCCACGAACAAACTCCGATTATGCACCAGCTTGTAGGCCGTAAAAACCGAGTAACCCCCATCCTTCGATTCATCCCATCGAATAATATCCTGGCTGTTCTCCTCTTCAACCACGACAGTAGCGGCTAATTTGAGCAAAATCCTAGATGGCAACAGAGAGCTAAGAACATCCCACTTCCAACCTATACCTGGGTTCCAAAAGTGGCTCACAGTGGCGTCTAAAAACTCCGGACTGATCACTCCCAAGGCCTCCTTTTCCAAACTGACATCGAGGAGCCATTTATCTCTCCAGAACCGGATCAGTTCGCCATCACCTAGCTGCCAAGACGAGCCTTTCACAACAACTTTCTTAACAGCCTTTTTAATACTTCTCCATGCCGGTGAAGGATCATTATGCACAGACAAAGAAGGGCGAATGTATTTTGCTCTCAGAACTTGCACCCAAAGGCAGTCATTGTCATTAAGAAATTTCCAAGCTAATTTACCTGTCAAGGCAAGGTTTAGCTCACGCATACACTTCAGCCCGAAACCTCCCCGGTCTTTGGGTTTTGTAATTTCCTCCCAATGAACCATGTGCATCTTCCTGTTTTCTCCCCACGAACCCCAAACGAAGGAGCGAGTGATTTGATCAATTTTATCGCAAACCGACCCCGGGAGATCAATGCAGGCCATTGTGTACACCGGAAGTGAAGTGATGACGGATTTGGCGAGCGTGATCCGTCCCGCAAGACTGAGGTTCTTACTCCGCCATCCGGACAGCTTGTTATTGATCTTTTGCAACAAGGGATCGAAAGTGTGCTTATCAATCTTTTTGTGAAGTAAGGGCATACCAAGGTAAACCCCAAAATCAGAAGTCACTGAGAAACCGCTCTCCCACTGAATTCTTTGAGCCAAATCAGCCTCAACATTTGGCGATATGAAGATCTTGGACTTGAGGGGATTAATTTTTTGTCCCGAGGACCTACAAAAGCGGTCAAGGCATTCCTTGACGACACGAACTTGAGCAACCGAGGCCTCCGCCATAAGAAGGATGTCGTCCGCGAAAAGAATATGTGAAAGGGGAGGACCACCACGAGAGATACGAATGTGCTTCCAGATTCTTTCATCAACGGCCTTAATAATCATATGACTAAGTCTTTCCACGCAAAGAACAAAGAGGTAAGACGAGATCGAATCTCCTTGCCTAATCCCCCTCGTAGGCCTAATCAAACCCGTTCTTTCGCCATTCCATAAGACGTTCATGGTAGCCGACGAGGTACACTCCACTATCCACTCGATCCATCTATCGGGAAAGCCCGCATCATGGAGTGTATCGACAATGAAATCCCACCTTAAGCGATCGTAGGCCTTCTCCAAGTCGATTTTAATGATCATCCAACCCGACTTGCCTTTTTTAAATCTCATGGAATGAACGACCTCTTGGGCAAGGACAATATTGTCTGTAATAAGGCGGCCCGGGAGGAAACTACCTTGCATAGGACCAATAAGATCACGAAGAATCCCTTGCATACGATTTACAAGAACTTTTGTGATGATCTTGTAAGAAACGTTACAAAGGCTAATCGGACGAAAAAGACCGACTTTATTCGGGTTGCTCACCTTAGGAAGAAGCGAAATCAGCATATTATTAAGCCCAGCGGGAAGCTTACCACAATCAAAGAAATCCCTGACCGCAGTAATGACAGAGGCTCCGACGGTCTTCCAACATTTATGGTAGAAAACCGGTTGGAACCCGTCCGGCCCCGGCGCCTTAAGACCTCCCATTTGTTTGATGCCTCGATAAATATCCTCCTCCAAGAAAACATTCTGCAACTCGGACCAGGCAGCAGCAGGCAACTGTGGGAACAGTCCGTGAGGTGTGGCAATTGGATACATTTCTTGAATAGGAACCCGGTAAAGATCCCTGAAAAAATCGACCACCATAGCCTCGAGTTCATCTTCATTCGTAATCAGCGCACCTCCATCATTCAGCAGCGCACGAATCCTGTTATGTTTTCTCCGGATAACCGTGGAAGCGTGGAAAAACGCCGTATTTCTATCCCCGGAATTCAGCCACGATTCTCTGGATTTTTGAAACCATAGGAGTTCCTCACGTTCAAGCACAGTTTGGAGTTCCCCTTTTTGCTGCTCCTCCTTAGCCATCAGTTCAGACGTAGGCCCTTTCTCAATCTCCATCTGCGTCTTATCAAGTTCAGCAAGAAGCAAGGTCTTCTTCTCATGTATATTGCCGAAGCATTTCCTATTCCAGTCTAGCAGTTTGTCCTTCAGCGCAGCCAAGGCAATATTAGCAGGACAATCCCTCTTCCAATTCTGATGAATAAATTCCAAGAAGTCGGGATGAGTAAGCCAAGCAATTTCAAAACGAAAAGGCCGACGACTTTTATCGTAGCGGCATTTAGGCTCAAGGCTAAGCAAAAGTAGCGTATGATCCGAACCAAACTTAGGAAGATGACGGACACTCGTGTTCGGCCATTTGATGCAAACTTCAAGATTCATAAGGAAACGATCGAGTCTTTTGGAGATAAGAGTGCTCGGAGTAAGCCCTCGGGACCACGTGAAACTTTGTCCCGCAAAGCCTATGTCGATGAGGCCATTGTTTGAGATCAACTCTCGAAATTCTGAGGAATCCAGATGAAGGACTCCGGAGCCTCCTTGTCTTTCCTCCAATCCCACAATACAATTGAAGTCACCTCCCACAAGAACCGGACTCCTACAGCAGCCGATCTCGTTTGACAGTGCAGCCCAAAAATTGCGTCGTTTATGGACAGTCGGCGGAGCGTAAGTAACAATGAGTTGAACCTGAAGGTCACCTTTACTAACCGCAGCACTGATGAAATGAGTATTCTTATAACGAACCCTTACATCGATCTCATCGGGTTCCAAACAAGCCAAATACCACCCTTGAACCCTTGGGCCTCAACCCTATCGCTTGCTCCTAATCTCAGCCTATCACAGATCTTCTGGGCATTCTCCCCTGAAATGTGAGTCTCAATCAACGCGATAACGTCAATACGGTGACAACGAATCATGTAATTCACAGTGTTAATGAAACCGGATTTACCCGCCCCACGATAATTCCATACAATACAATTCATAATGGAAACAAAGGGGGTTTCGAAATAACAAACCCATTACAGGTTCTGGCTCGAGCTACTGAGCTCGACCCCCTCGATCTTATCATCTTCTTGGCTACCAGAAACATTCCCAGGATCGACATTTCTGATTGCAACATCAGCAGCCTCTGAGGAAATGGGTAGAGAAGAGTCAGCCTCAATATTGGGCCCAAACACTTCGCCACAATTAGGCCCAAGCCTGTTAGCTGGGTTGAGCGAATGTGATGCAATATCTTCTAGAGTTTGGTCCCTTCTAAGCAGAACATAATGAGGCTGCTCATAATTTGCCCTAGGCCTTTTGGACGGGCCCAATTTCAAGCTCTCACTTGGGCTTGCAATCTGAAGAGGCCCGTTACCTTTTCCATGCTTGAATTTTCTGTCAGTCTTTTTTCTGCTTCTATTATTACCCATCAAGGCTTTTGACGTATCCCCATAATTTCTATTAAAACCACTACCTTCTGACAAATACGGCTCTGCAGAAACTATGGCCTTCCCTTTGTCTCTCTTTTCTTTCTCTGCTCCCTTGTTTCCCTCTTTCGGAGTATCATTGTTGTGCCCGAAATTTCTTCCTGCTTCTTGATTTTCCTTCTTTGAGTATGAATCCAAACGTTCCCCTGAAACCTCTTCCTCCTGCAGGTTCTCCAAAACTTTAAACCCATCAGATCTCGAGGGATTTTTCAATGGCCCGAATCCCTGCTTGAATTTAGGGTTAGGGTTAGGGTTTACCCACTCAGCATGCCTTGCCGGCCGCCGCCTGGGTTTTGGCAACATCCAACCGCCGAATTTCTCTTCGCCCGCCGGAGTTCTCCTATTCGGATCGATGCGTTGATCTTTGCACGCCTCCGCCTCCTTCTGTTTCTTTTCAATGTTCGATGGCAGGGTAGGACAATTTGGTTGGAAGTGTCCGTACCGACCACAATGGAAGCAGATGGAATGTAGGTTCTCATACTCCACTAAATATCGGTTTCCATTGATGAACACCGAACCCTTCAGCGGTTTTGTCAAATCTATCTCGACACAAACCCTCGCATACCTACCTCTATTAGCATGTAAGGTTTTCTTGTCCACCTTGATCGGCCTCCCCATCCCGGCAGCAACTTGTAACAGAACTCCTTCCTCGTATAAGAAAACAGGAAGATTTGAAATTCGCACCCAGGCCGGAGTGGTCGCAACGACGACTCCTTCCTCGTATAAGAAAACAGGAAGATTTGAAATTCGCACCCAGGCCGGAGTGGTCGCAACGACGTCCGTAAGAGGGTCGAAAGTTGGCGTCCATGGTTTAAGGACCAGATAATGTCCAAACATTGACCATGGACCCCAGTGAGTACTCTCATATAATCATCTGCACTAGAGAATTTAACCATGTAGTAAGCATTCGGCAAATCAATGAGTCTGAAGTGCCCCTTTGGTTTCCAAAGTTCCTTTCACCTTTCTAGCCATGACATCGAACGGAATCAGAGTCCCAAGGGTTTTGACCACCATTGTAGAGGTCTAGGCCGACGCTAGCGTCTTCAACACCTCTGTTTCAATCGTCACTCTTGGATCACCATCTGCACCCTCAGGGAAAGCGACTTTGATTTTACCATCAAGAAACCCATCTGGCAAACTAGCTCTCACCTCCTCTTCAGTTTCCACACATTCTTCCTCCTTCTCAACAGCTTCAACGGTAACTTCTTTGCTGGTGACCAGATCTTTCCAAAGCCTAGTTGCTGCCAAGGGTTGTTCCAGTCGACTTACCTAGCCCACCCCCTCAGCAGCAGTAGGCACTTCATCCATGGTCACTTCATTCGTCTTCGGGTCATCCTTCTGAGTTGAATCATTCGGTCCTGGTGGCTGGTCGGGATTCACCACATCCGTCGTAATGTCCATCATGTTCATGGCCATTCTTTTTCACTCTTAGGCTGGTCTGGGTTTGAAAGGGCAAGAGTGTGCAACGCAAATGTGAGTTAGTGAGTAGGAGAAATTAGTTAATGACAAATATACCCTTTCTAATTAATACTAATTATATTCCTAATGCAAAAATCATTTGCCCTTTCTTCTCCATCAGTAAAACACACTAATACACCATGTTCCCCTCACTTCTCTTTAATTTCTTCTTCTTCTTCTACCTCATCTTTTCTTCTCATGCAGAGTTCAAGATTTGGAGCTTATTACCTCAGGCTTGTTTTCGACTCTTCCTCCTTTGAGAACTTCAATGTCAGTGAATATTCTTTTTGGCTAACAATTTGAAGGTAGTACCGAAGGACAGTATCACCAGTGAGATTTTGTGGAAGAACATGAGAACCCAAATTTCACCTCTGATGAAAGAATATTTGGTTATCACCAGTGAGATTTTGTGGAAGAACATGAGAACCCAAATTTCACCTCTGATGAAAGAATATTTGGTGGGTGTGGATGGCAAGGTATTGGAGTTCAATCCTGATTCAAAATCATATGCCTTTCTGAATGCCATTGAAATCATCCAAGTCCTAGATGATATGTAAGCGACTGAATAAAGTGGAAGACAACAGTGCAGATAGATCTCAAATTGACAAATCATTCAAGTCTTTATTTGGTTAATTGGGAGGAGGGGTAGAAAGGTCAGGACACAATTCTACTGTTTGAATTCCAATATTGTTAAGTGAGGGGTAGAAAGATCTAATGTGAAAGTATTAGAGAGTAAATTTGCAATCAGTATTTAAGTGGTAAATTTGCAAATATGGATGATTTAAGGCGTATAGACATGAAACACCTTTGTAGTTTATACGCAGTCGAAAAGGACCGAATACTGTTTCCATCAACATAGTCATGAGTAATAATATAGACACAGTACTTTATTTGCCAAATGCAACATTTACCATTAAGCAGTACAACAAATAGGATTTCAACTCTGCAGAAACTGAATGCTTTAACTCAATCACACAATCTTTATGCCTTCTTACAGAAAATGCGGCATCTTATTATGTCTATTTAAACTGGAGTTGCAAAGTAAATGCAAATGTGCGCAAACTGCAAGTGCACAAAAGAATATGAATACTTGTGAACTTAATCACACAATTTTATGTTTCTTATACACAAGAGGCATTTTAATATGTTACTCTATTTAGAAATGCAGTTAATAAGTAAATGCGGATGTGCACTAACAGCTTGTGCACAAAACCATATGATAACAACTATTGACATTAACGCAAAGAGTAAGAAATCCAGGTGCGGAACTATGACCTGACCCACTGAATTAGAAGATGAAGCATGATTTCAAATCTAGACTCAGAAATATGTGTAAAATTAAACTCTTGCCTGCTGGGTTGATAAGAAATCAGACTCAACCCTATTCAACCTCGGATGCAAAAGAGCAAAGTATATCTTCCAGAAGCTTTTCTCAGTCATGAAACGTGGGCAAAGGCTTATTCTAAGTGTAGATAAACTTGGAACCAGACGTTCAACAGTTTCTATATGGTCTCTTTGATGATGGGACATATGAAAATCTGCAAAATAATACAAAACCAGATTAGATTAACCTGTTTCTATTTCTATATGGTTTTTCTCCCCCCTCATAGAAATCACCTTTAAAATAGGATGACTATATGAAAACCAACTTTAAAGTTATATTAATACATAAGCCACCTTTAAAGGAGTTCCCAGTAATAATCAACCACCTTGACTAGTTTTTTGGTAAAATGGCGATTGGTATCTTACAAAAAACCTCATCAACTTGTAATATTTCATGTCACATTACTGATTTGCTTCTTTTTAAAACACCTGAAAGCACTTCTTAACTATAAGATAAATCAAAATTTCACTGCAAAATAGGTTAAATGTGGTTGATTGCTACCAGAACCCCTTTAAAGGTGGTTTCTGTATTAACTGAACTTTAAAGTTGGTTTTCATTGTCACGCTAGTTTAAAGTTGTTTTTTTTTTGTTTTTTGTTTTTTGTTTTTTGTTTTTTTTTGGGGGGGGGGGGGGGGCTTTCTTTAAAGTATAATACTATTAACTATAAATGAAAGACCAAATATTATTCAAGGAATAATTGGAGATGTAGTGGTTTCTTTACTAGCAATCCCAATTAGTATAATTTGTGCTAGCAATAATGGAATAATTATTTGCAAAAAAATTATAAATGAGCTATCATGCAAATGAAGAGTTTGATAAAAACTTGACAAATAACAACCATAGCAAGAGAGTTTTAAAGTTGAACTTAATTTAAAAAATTACAAAAAATGGAAAAAAGTCATTTTTGTATCCACTAAAGCTTCAAGCAATTAGAAAGATACGATGATGATGAAGAAAATGAGTCACAGAAAATATAATGACACAGAGAAAATGTTGTGAGCTTTTCAAAATTGCTAATATAATGCACATCAACATTTGCATTTCCTCTAGGTGTCATTCAGTTTTAGAGGGCGCGGTTTGGGGGGGAAGTGACACTTTCTTTAAAGTATAATACTATTAACTATAAATGAAAGTCCAACTATTATTCAAGGAATAATTGGAGATGTAGTGGTTTCTTTACTAGCAATCCAATTAGTATAATTTGTGCTAGCAATTATAGAATAATTATCTTGCAGAACATTTATAAATGAGCTATCATGCAAATCAAGAGTTTGATAAAAACTTGACAAATAACAACCGTAGCAAGAGAATTTTAATGTTGAACTTAATTCAAAAAAATTATAAAAAATGTAAAAAGAGTCATTTTTGTATCCATTAAAGCTTCAAGTAGTTAGAAAGATACGATGATGAAGAAGAAAACGAGTCACAAAAACTATAATGACACAAATAAAATGTTGTGAGCTTTTCAAAGTTGCTAATATAATACACATCAACAATTGTATTTCCTCTAAGCGTCATTTAGTTTTAGAGCTCAACTTTTCCCACATTAAAGATACCCCTGCTTCATTACGAATTGAAGCAAAAATGTACATATGCTACATTAAGTCGCCATAATAGCATAAAAACCTATTGTTTAAAAGCTAGATCTCTGTCTCTTTTATTTTCGACTAAATTGCACTTAAATGCCCTGTAGTTTCACCAACCTTGCATTTTAATGCCCCCTATTTTAAATCAGTTACTTAAATGCTCAAAGTATTTAGGTATTGCAGAAAATGCCCCAAAGTTAAAAAAAACTTAGATGCATTAACTTTTCTCTACGTATCTAAGAATATCACATAACTGAGGGTATTAAAGTGCATCTTTTAGGAACTTTAGGGTATCTAAGTGAGAATATTTACAAATTAAGGGCATTCATATACAACATTTGGTAAACAAGAGAGCACCAAAATGCAACATTGGGTAAATAAAATGACACCAACGTGCAACATTTAAAAATTTTGGGGCATTTAACTGCCAACACTTAAAATACTTTGGGGGCATGAGCACGATTTTAAAATATGGGGCACTAAAGTGCAAGGTTGATGAAACTATAAGGTATTTAAATGCAATCTACCCTTTATTTTTCTTTCCATCCTCTATTATTTTTCTTTATTACATTTTTACCAGAATGTCTAAGTTAAACAATTAAGGATATTTAGGAAAAGTAGTGTGCTAAATTTCAACCCCTACTATTCACACTTCACCTTTGGTTTGCTATTTATTCTTTTGGTTTTTGCCTGACGTGATGGGGAACAACCCTGTAAGGAGAGTATGGCTGTGGTGATGGGGCTAGAGCTTTAGTAAGGTAAGAGTTATGAGTAATGTTAGAGGATGATTGAGATTAATTTAGATTATTATTTTTCATTTTTGGGCAATGGATAAAGAACAAGAAGGTTTGTGAATTTCATCAAACCAATGGTTGAAGCTGACCCAACTATCACCTCCTCAATGGTGGAAGCCACCTTGATGGAGGACATCGATGACGACTTCCCCCATTTCGAGACTCTCTTTGTTTTGTTCAGTTGACAATAACAACGTACTCATTTCTCAAATTCTAATTCAAACTCAATTTCAGAAAGAGAAGTCATCTAAAGGGCCTAGGATCAAAGAAGGTAGCTAGAATAAGAATAGGATCAAGAACAAGAGGTTCTTATGATCCTCTGGAGATCGTGGCCACATATTTGACTTCTTTTTGTCCAGGTATTCAATCCAAAAATAAAAGTTGCAACATCTATTATTTTCTCTGAGACTTATTAACAATAAGCTTTGTTAGTTTTGTTTATAGGATCTGATGTCTCTCGTCTATTGGTATATGAATCCCATGGCTTATAATGAGCACCTTTGTGAATGTATAAAAAGATTTTTTTTTTACCCTCAAAACTTTAGGCTATTATTGGTGGACTTATATTCAAAATGTTTTGATGTAGGAGTTTCAGATTTTGAAGGATAGGTTGTGAAATATGGATTTCTTATGATTTAAACTTCAAAAATTAAAGGGTATTATTGTTCACAAAATTTAGCTAGCGACTCGGTATAATGGAATCTCTTATTTTTAGTTTAAGAAATACTAAAAGTATGAAATATAGATTGACTACATAATTAACAAATTTCTAGTGATCAAGAAAAAAAATTTAATTTGGTTATAAATGTTAGTGGTATATAGGTAGTGCTTGAGGTCCAGTCTAGCTTCACCAAAACGGTAGCTATGAGAATGTACTTGTAAGAAGCTTTATGTTCAATCAATTATTTTACATATAGGCACGGTTGAAAAATTACTTTAGTTTTGACGACATGTCATTTACTTAATGTAGAAAGGTGATATGAGTTTGATCTTTTATCATGTTCGATAGTTGATAATTGTTAGGTAAGTAAATCTTATTATCCCAGCTTTTTGTATAAACTCTTTCCTTGTCTAGGATAAGTTGTACTCCGTGGTTATAGAGCAGGGGGGTGTCATAATGGACAAAAGTTGGTTTTGTCTGCTTTTTGTGATTTTAAATTACTCAAATAAAATTTATGTTATGTTATGATTTTATTCTCATTCACATTAAAGCTTTAGCAAGTTTTAGAAATATGTACTAGTAAAGTAATTCTTATCTAGCTAGTATGTTCATCAAAAGGAATTGTAAGATTGGTAAACTATGGAGTTCCTGGGACTACAAGTTTGTCCATAAGAAAAAAAGGAAAACTAATTATGACTATACACGAGACACAAAAAAAGACATGGACAAACAATTTATAAAATCAAACATGGCTACACATATGTATAAAGAATAAAAAAGGTACATATGTACACATAAAGATAGATATGTTCCCGCATCTAGAAACTCAAAGCCATTCCTAATAAGACAGTAACTAACATACAAGAATTCATATTTCAATTATTACACATTTTTTATGACTTTTCAAAAGGAATGCATAGTCTCTTCAACTTTCTCTAGAATAGTTCCATAGACATGGCATTCCCATGTTTGCATGAGACATTTCTATGCACTATATCTAATATTCGATTTGATTTTATACAATATAAATTATGCAAATCTGAGTTATTATTTCTAGCAAGAATACTAAAATTTTTAATTTTTGCCAGAAGGACACAGATTCATGTTGTTGTTTGTATATAATAGGATTGCCTTGGTGATTAATCTATCATTCAGTTAATTCCTCAATTATCTTAATTCTATGAGATTCCGACTAGCATTAACTAATTCTCGAAGTTTCTATGCTATAGGAGGGAAGATATTCAGCTGCGAAGAAGACCATATTGAATTAGAAGCAATAATTAATTATGTACATGAGTTGGATGTTGCTTATAAAAGAGACAAAACTTAAAAATATAATCAATCACCTAACCAACATATTTAGTGATGGCAACCGACCAATCATAAGTATACAACTTTAATTATGTACATGAGTTGGTACTTGTTTATTTATTTGTATCATTGGTGTATCAATGTGTGAGTTGATACTTACTTATATAAGAGGCAGAACTTAAAAACATAATCAATCACCTAATCAACATATTTAGTGATGGAAACTGGCCAATGATGAGTATACAACTTTAATTATGTACATGAGTTAATACTTGTTTATTTATTTGTATTATTGGTGTATTGATGTGTGAGTGCGGTGGATTAGAGAATCAAAGAAAGGAAGTTTGTAGCATATCATTTTAATTGCTCGAGGTGTGTTCAGTTTGATCTTTATATCCATAATTTTAATGATCATTCAAGTTGTCCAAAGTCTTACAACAAATGATCATATCATATATGTCATTCTCTCGGTATGAGCCCTACAAAAACTTTGGTTTACTTCTTTGGCTATTTTCTGAATGAAAAAGATATTGTTATATGACATGGGACTTTGATGCATGCTTGCCAGTGAAAAAGTGCCTAATTATTCATATTTATTCCTATACCTTAATTGCTGAATGTCTACACTACTCACAGGTCCAATTTTTCACATGCTTTCCTAACTTCCTACTCTTATCTGATGGCTAGTTGGGATGAAATGAAGTATATTCATGGATCCTGCTAACACCACCAAACTTGATTTAAATCGATTGCATGGTTTCATGTACTTCCTCCACATTTTATCTTTCGCTTTTTGATGTTGAACTTGCTTGTTGATGTAACTTCGTCATGCTATTCCTCATTTTCAGGATTATTGTGTATTTGACCATTCATTTATTATAGTTTGTATGGATGTCAAATAGTTTCTCTTTTTTATATACATATGTTCATGTAATATGCAAGACAATGAAAACCATTCTCTGATGTTATGAGATGCTCCGAATCTTTGTTGGATGCGCCGGCTATGCCTCCCCTTGAAGACATAAAGTTTACTTTGTACATTGTTTATTAGGTTCAAAGTGGTGTCATTAGGAAACAGATGATCCTCCTAGGTTCCCTTGCATTCTTAAATGGAAAAATGTGTTTACGCCCCAAAATTAAGAACCTCATATGATTAAGCCCCTCACTTTCTAGGCAAGTGATTGGGCTGCAAAATTAAAGTTTTCATGCGTTTAGTCCTTACCAACCCATATTTTTCGTTAATCCCCAAAATACCCTTCATCTTCTTCCTCCTCACCTCCTTCATGCTCTTGTATTCTCTCTCTTCTCTATCCCACATCCACCTTCTCCCTCCTCTCTTCTCCTCCACCCCACCTCCGCCCTCTCGCATCTGCCCTCCTCTCTTCTCCTCCACCACACCTTTGCCCTCACATCCGCCCTCCTTTCTCCTACGCCTATCCTCCTCCTTCCTCTTTCCTACACCAAACTTCATTCAGCTCCCTCCTCTCTCTCCTCTCCATCTCCACTCCATCCTCGTCCCTCCTCCTATGCACCCTCCTTTTACTCACCTTCCTCTCTCCTCCTCTCTCATGTATAGTATCTCCACTTTCCTCGTCCCTCCTCCTATGCACCCTCCTTCTTTTACTCACCCTCCTCTCTCCTCCTCTCTCATGTATAGTATCTCCACTTTCCTTTCCTCCCCTTCCCTCCCTCATCTTTTGTTTCACTTCCAACTTCCTCTCTCCTCCTCCTCCATCTCCATCTATTCCTTCTCCCTCCAGCAACTAGAATATGAATAATGCAAATTTCATCCAAAAAAGTCAAAACATCCACGTTTTCCCATCAAATTACAAGAAAACTGATAACTTAATTACATAAAAAAATTAACATAAAGAGCATAGAGAACTTACAATCATCAATAGCGAAATGAATTTTGAAAGGATCGATGACACAGTTGTTGATTTTTGATAGGATTGATGTACATATAATGATGCAATGACAATGGAAGGTTGAAAATACACGTCTCATGGTAGGAAAAATGGATATAAGTTTGAAAAAAGCAAAGACTAAAATATCGTCACCTCACTGGTCACATTTCTGCAACCAGTGACCGATGTGTTTAGTATGTAGTAATGATTAATCAGACAGTACGTAGAAATACTATATTTATGGAAAAAGTCGCAACTTTGAAAAAGAACCAATCACAAAAATCCATGCTTTCTCATCAAATTTCAAGCCCACTGATCAGTTAAACTAGATAAACTCAAAGAAATACACAAAAAAAAAGAGAAGAAGAGCTTACAATCATCAACAGGGACTGGAAACTCCATCCAAGATTCAGGACACTTGACCAAATCCCTAACAAACATCACAACCTCCTCCCTCATCCCCCCACCACTACTACCACTCCGATTCCTCCTCCAAACACTGGAAATCCTCCCAATTCCGCTCTTCAATCCCCCACCAAACTCCGCCAAATCATTCAAAACCCCAGCAACCACCACTCTCCTCTCCAGTTGCTGCTGCTGCTGCTGCTGGTTGGTCAAAGCAGAGCTAGGGTTAGGGTTAGGGTTTCTCTTCTCTTTGTGAGGCGACGCCGGAGGCGAATCGGTGTAATCTGCCGCCGCTCCGATGAGGGGCGAGAGGAAGCAGGCGATGTCGAGGAGGTGGCGGCGAATCTCGTTCAGGTCGTCTTTGACGCCGCTGAAACCTCGAGCCATCAGCGATCGACGATGGCAGGGGAAGTAATTATTGAAGAGTGGATTTGGATTTATTAGGGTTTCTGATGATCGAAGAAGAAGAAGGAGAGGGGAGAATATAAAGGGGGAGTTGTCTCTCTCTCTCTCTCTCTCTCTCTCTCTTTTCCCGCAACGATCGAATTCTACTCTATTTATGTCTCCTCCTTTTAAGTAAAAAAAAAAAAAAATCAGTAGCCTTTGATTTTTATTGACTCTGGTCAGTTTCAGTTGCATTTTGAGTAAATTACAAGAAACCCATCTCATTTTATCAAGTTTTTTTTAAAGAAGAAAAAAGATCACTCATCCATGACAATTAATTAAACTGTTAATTTTATAATAGAATTTTGTTCTTCTGATGTATGACAAATATTTGCATTCTCTGATAGAATTTTGTATAATTATTTTTACTTTAAATATCAACAATAGTTTCTGGGATTTGAAAGGAAAAATCTAAAGTTTCTATTGTTAACCTAGCATTTCACGTGTAGGCCGCTGTTCCGACATCTAAAAACCAAACTTCATGGAAAAGTAATAGTTCTTTAATGATCTATGGGGGGATTTTTGTCAAACTTTATAAATGAGGAAATATTTAAAAAAACAATGTATAGATGAAGGATGTTAGCTTTTGTATTTACCCATAATTTTGGACACTAGCCCTATTAATTCCGAAAGTTCACAAGGAGCTATATGCAAAGAGGTTGAGAAAGGTACAAGAGAGCATCTTCGCAATGGCAATGGTGGGCCACTGGTGGGTCGAGTTAGAAGGGGGTTGGCCCGCTTTTGACCCGCCGCACGTGTGTCGGGGTATGCAAGCCCTCATCACTCCATGGAGTTGTTTCTTCGTTCTTGTCTAAGTAACATTTATTTGGGAAAAGGTTGGCCGTAATATCTTCAAGATTTCTCCAATTCATTACCTAGAAAAGTTGTATGATCTTAGCTGCATTTTGTCTTGCACGACTAATATCTGTTAGACCCTAGAGGGGGGTGATTAGAGTCTTATGCTAATCTAATCCGATTTTATGCCGATTTAAAACTAATTCAAATATTATTCTTGCAAGATAGAATCCGATTTTATGCCGATTTAAAACTAATTCAAATATTATTCTTGCAAGATAGATATACAATATGTTATAAGCAAGAATATGCAATATGAACAAATGATTCAAATATTATTCTTGCAAGATAGATATACAATATGTTATAAGCAAGAATATGCAATATGAACAAATGACAATATCCTAACAATGATTGATGCAGCATAAACATGTACCAAAAAGGTTACAAGTGCACAACCGTGTCAAGTTATAGTATTTAAGATATCGATCCCACGAGGAAGGTGTTTTGTAAGAGAAAATATAAATTTGGTTCTTATTTTGTGTGCGTGACAAATAGGAGTGATAAGTGAATGTGATTGTGAAGAGATTGAGATAGTGAAAATGGTGTGTAAATAGGTGCAAAGTGTAAGTGAGAGTGGATTTGAAAAAGAATGAGTATGATCAATAAGGTGAGAAGGAAAAAATGAATAAAATCAAGAAACAAATAAAAAAAAATTCAAGAATGAAGAACAAAATTCTAGAATAAAAGAAAATACAAGAAATTAAAGATGGTGGATTCAATTATAGATATGGGTAATCTACAATTGAGCCCACTTCTTAAAAAAGGGTGATTCCCTAGAGGGTTCTAGCCTAAAGGCGAATCAAACAAAATAAAAATAAACAAAAAGAAAAACTAAACCCAAGAGGGTTCTAGCCTCAAGGTGAATAGTATAAGAAATTAAAATCTAACTACAAAATAAAGTGCAAAATCTAAACTACAAAATAAAATTGCAAGAATTAAATGCAAGAAAATAAATCTATTCTATAAGCATGAAATAAATCTAAGGCAAGAGGGTTCTAGCCTCTTGGCTATTTAACAAGAAAATAAAATCTAAACTACAAGCATAGAAATAAATCTACACTAATAAGCAATAAAAGAGAAAAAGAAAGAAATGCAAAAAGAAAATGCAAACCTCTAAATAATTCTTCATCTCCATCTTCATCATCCAACAAAGAGAAGAAATATTTAAAGTGGTGAAAAAATTATTATTATTAATTGCAACTAAAGTTACAATTTTTGGAAGGCCTTCTCAATTAAGAGTAGCCCTCCTCTCCAAAAGGAGTTTACAAAAATTTCACACCCTTAACCCCTCACTCTCTACCCCTATTTATAGTAAACATCAGTGAATGAGAGCCATTGGATTGAAATCTTATCCAAAAACATCAATTTTCAGCCTTTGATTCGTAACAAACTGCCCAGCGTATCGATACCAGCATCGATAGGGGTATCGATGCTGGCATCGATACGGGCATCGATGCGGGCATCGATGCCCCCATCGATGCTGGCATCGATGCCTGCCTGCTTCTAGCTGCTGTCCGCAGAACTCCTCTTTCATTGGTTCTTGGGCTTGGATCTTGGGCTTTTGCTTGGGCTTTTGGGCTTTGATATTTCTTTTAATCCTTCATCTTAGCTTGGGCTTTTGGATAGATTGGAAATTGATTTTCCAATTGGCTTCTTGATTCATTTCTTCATTTAATCAATGGGTTTTTGTTGAGAGATGGGAAGTTGAGATTTATTCTTCATTAACCTGCAATTAAAAGATAAAAACAATTATTAGTGGTATATTTATTCATATAAAATAGATAATGAGGGTATAAAATTGTAATAAAATGTGATTATCAAATACCCCCACACCTAAACTTTTGCTAGTCCTCTAGCAAAGAAAATAAAAAGAAAATCCTAACTCACTTTCGCAGGAATCGCGGTTGTATTTAGCGCATACAACAAGCCTTTAAACCCCTAGGTTACCCTAGTGGACGAGTTGTAGTCTCGTGAGGGTTTGCAGTGAATATACCCACAAAATTCGGTCAACTTGCCAAATTAAAGAAGTCAGTAAATAACTAAATTCACTTGATAACTTTTAGATAATCTAATTGGAGCCAGTTATCACTCAAGAAAACATTTTTATATATAACTCTAAGGTATATTTTTAAGAAAATCTTCTCATTGTAGCAATACAAAACCAAGCCAAACTTAGAAATTTAATTTAAAAGTTTTGAAAAGAACATGCTAACTCTTTGTTTTAAATAATTTTCAAGTTGCTTGATTTAAAATATTTTCCAAGACCATATATACAACTATAAAACATTTATTAGTTTTTTTAACTCTTTCTTCCTTGGTGATTTTTTCTACTTTAACGGGCTTTCTAAGTGACCATTTAACGAGTTTTGGGCCAATGGATCCCAACCCAAATGGGCTTAGGTCATTAAGTATGGAAATACTCCTTGGGCTTAATTACTCGGTCAGCTTAGGCTTAATAAGATAGAATCACCTTGAATTAAAGAGTTTTTTTTTTCTTTTTGGTGCCCATTTTTCGCACTCTTCTTTTGCAATTTTTTTTTGTATATGTATATATATTTTGAAAATATGTAAATCAAGACACTTTGAAAAAAATTATTTTCAACTCTAAGTTAAGCATGCAAAAATTTCATTATTTTAAATAAAAGTCCAAGTTAAGGCTTAAGTAAAGTATACTACTTTGAAAATCATTTCTTAAGAAATTTATTTAGAGTTATCATAAAAGGTGATCTTAAGTAAATAACCAACTAGGGATTAGAAATTTTCAAATTTATCAAATAAATCAATTATTACATAACTCTATCAATTTGGCAAGTGACGATATTTTTATAATTTTTTTTAAAAAAGAAAAAGGAAAAAAAAATGTAGCTAAAAATGTAAAATAAAGAGAAAAAATAACTAATTCCCACCCCCACACCTAAATTTTGCATTGTCCTCAATGCAAACTCTATGATACATAAAGTAAAGCAGATAAGAAGTGAAGCACTTACATTTGGTCGGCTGATAAAAATCTGCAATTACCTTTGGTCGGAGGAGGATGGAAAAAATTTATTCTTCTGAATGTCTCTAGGATTTTCTCCTCCTGAGGAGAGTGTTTCCTAGACCTGAGTCTATCTGGAAAGGGAGCAACCGGTCTAAATCTATCAAAAGCAGGCTCAGGTTCGGGTTCAGGTTCTTGGTCATCTGAGGGGAGTGATTGTTGAATAGATTCATCAGAAGGAGAAGGAGAAGGAATTTGTACAGGATCAAGAGTTTGACTTGGCGGAGTTCTCACTTGATTATCGACCTGTCTACCTGACCGAAGTGAATGGATTGCATTCACTTGAGCTTCATAGGATGAACTGCATCCTGTGTTATTAGGGTTGACCACGGGTTGACTCGGAAATTTTCCTTTCTCTCTTTCACTCACGGCACTAGCTAGTTGACCAAGTTGGGATTCTAATCTAGCTATAGCTTGAGTGTTGGAGTTGAGCATTTGTCCGGTTGATTGCATGAAGGAATTCAACGTGCTAGATGTTTGAGTCAACATATTCGTGGTTTGAGTAGAGGCCTTAATTATGGTTTCTAAACCCCTTTCCAAGACATTGAGACGTTTATCTTGATCTGGATTGTGAGGAGTTTGAATTACAGCTTGATGAGGAGGAGACTGATTTTGATACGGCAGATTGGGTTGTTGAAATTGTGAATGAGAATTGAATGGAACTGTGTTTCCCCTAGGAAAATGTTGGGTCGAAGCGGGAGTGAAATTTTGAGTTCCGGGAGAATTTCCTAGATTCCATGCAAAGTTGGGATGATTTCTCCAACCTGGATTGTAGGTTGGAGAAAATGGATCATTTCTAGGGTGCTGGAATGCAGCGTTCATCTGTTCTATTGCGTTGTTATTTCCTAGGAGAGGGCATTCCTCTGAAACGTGGGTAGGAGACTGACAATTATGACATCCTGGGAAAGAAACATGATTGAGTTGAGCTGGAGCTCGTTCCTTAATTTCTAAGGCTTCTAACCTCCGCAGAATTGTCGCCATCTTCGCTTCAGAAGCAATGTTTGACTCCAAGGAAAGACCACTAGACTTAGAATGGGGAACTGATGAAACCCTGTCATCGCACTGTTCCCATTGCATTGTTTTTTCAGAAAGACTCTCCAAAAACTCCCAAGCTTCATCAGCATTTTTCCTCATAAAATCCCCGTGGCACATTGATTCTAAGGAAGTTTTTGCAGAATAATCTAATCCCTCATAA